TCATCTTGCTAAAAAAAAAGTATTTTTAAACAATATTCAACTTATTTAGTTTTATGCAAACCACTTGGATTAAAAAAAATCAGTGTGCACTTATTTCCCATAATGCATTGTGAGAGATCCTACCTGATATTATTTTGAAAAACATACAAGATACAATATAAACTTCCTTCACCTACCTCCCCACAACATTGTATGAGATATGGAATGGGCTATCTAATTACAACACCATTAGGTGGGTGTGTCTAGTTAACCCTGTGTCTACTTTGAACATTCATTTGTAAACTTCAGTGTTAAGATAACTATTAGAAATAAGTCGGTGAAAAATTCAATTTAGCAGCAAGAACATTTATAAAATCATAATATGTACAACAACATAAACATCTATAATGGCTAAAGGGTTATTAAATCCTAGTTATGTAATTTGAACTATGTTAGATTAAAACATGTACAATGTTACTTACATTTCTTTTTATTAAATATGGAATGAAATAATTGTCATATTTTGTCATGCTGAATTCTCTCAAAGTTTAAAAGTATCAACTTACGAATAGAAAAGTGTGTTGGAAGTAAGCAAACCTAACCGACTAGATACTTGGAAGTAAACAAACTAAACCAGCAAACTTTGAAACACGTTCCTGACAATCAATCGTATTGAAAAAAACGACTAAGCCATTTATGACACACAGATCTGTTGCTTTATCTTGCCTGGGGCAATGACTTGAACAAACACTGACTGTAGAATAAATATCGACAAAGGTACTTTTTTTCTTTAAAATGCCTTGACAATAACAATTGTTATACAGGACTCTATCTCCTACAGCAATTGCCTGAATTTAATTGATGACAGTCTTAAATCTGCTAACAAATCCTGATTCTCAAAGCTAAGATTAACTTATACAGTACTATAGCGCAGACAGTCGCATAAAATCATGCAAGGCCGTGTGTTTTTGATGTGACAATCAAACCGCTATGTGATTTGTAGTGCACTGGCACTGCCTGTAATAACGTGTCAAACATGGTAGGCTAGTAAAACACAATAGATTTCCACTCTCTTTAGGTGAACTCGCTCAGCTGAAGTTTTCCAGCTGTAGTGGCCGGTAACAGTTCAATAGTACTCTCTCGGCACGAAAAAATGGGGTAAGGGTGTCAAAATACTCAGCAAATAAAGACTTATACGTGGGAGAGGAACTTGTTTATTGAGCGAAATACGCACAGACACGGCGATTAGGGAAGGAAATTACTCATTGTTTTTACACACTCTCGTAAAAACTGGGAGAAAAATATCATTCACGGAGGTTTGGCTTGGTGAATAGCTTGCAAACTGTCAATTTGCCAACTTCAAGGCTTGTCTAGCGTACGGGACGAGGACCTAGAGCACAATCCTGTCTACAGCAACTAAAAACCATGATCACCCCCAAGACAGGCTCGCGAACAATTCGTTGACAGTCGTGGTGGTGTTCGCGGTATTTTTTTTTTGTTCATACAGTCTTACTATTGATCAAATGTGCAGACAGTTTCACGCAGTTCGCACAACTGGAATTACTCACTGAGTAATTTGAGACGATAACGTGCGTCGCTGCTAAATGATGTAATTAAGATTTTGAAATAAATATCGTGATTTTGAGCAAGGGAGCGGAGTCGTGACCCCACACCACCTCAACCTACCGGGATATCGTGATTCAGTTCAGTGTCGTCCAGCAGCTTAATGCAGCAAAAATATTCCTTCGATGTATCACCGAAACAGCTCATTTTCAACTAGGTTGTTCACTTAATAATCATTCCACAGATGGTTGGTCTATCAGAAACGTCAGACTGCGGTAAAATGACGCTAACTGTTGCTGAACTTAAAATACATTTTCAGACACAGGCATCGGTGTTGTTGTTTGGTTCCAATCAAAGCAATTTTGAAAACAGTGGTGCCAAGCTGAGTGGAGCCCGGCGTGTAAATTGGACTCTACCATTTCTTCAAAGGGGGTAGTAGGTCGAACTGGACAAGGTCACGGCAATACAAACCTGTGTGTTTCAACTCAACATGTATTAATGGCTGGCCATTATAAGTTCTAAGAGGGGATAATCGTAGAAGTAAAAAAAAAAAATATGTATTTCCTTGTCTTAGTTTCAAGCATGTTTGTTTATGGCGCTGACGTTCGCTAAACATGTTAAATTTACGCTTTTTCAAATGTGAGCAAGTGTCTCTTATAAATGTACGCGTTTTACTGTCATGTTACCTAATAGAATGTTTTTCTTCGTTTAGGATTCTTTTTTTTTTATCAAATTTAACCCCCTTCCGTATTCATAGTGGTCAACCCTTTATATAGGTTCTTGAACATAACGGAAATAATAGATAATGCGTGTAATGCAATTGTATATAAGCTACTCTTGATCTTCTAGTCACGTTATAATTGGAAACACCACAGTATAACATCAAAGATATGTCATTAGTTCAGTTCGTGTACCTGTGTTGACATGCGCTGAAAATCCGATGAAATGAAACGTAATACACCTCGTATAAAAAGTAAATAAATTCAGAAATGGTATTACAAGAAGGATCAGGATGTGAATTAAGTAAATAGGTAGATTTATGATGATAACAATAACGTTCAAATAGATTGTTAATTTGTAGCTGTTGTGTTGTATTGTATTGTATTGCGTTGTGTTAAAAGTCATACAGATTGACTATATTGTAATTTTTTTATTTTTAGATATATCACATGTACAAGAGAAGAGCATATATTTCTTCATATAGCGCCATCAACGTCGAATGCAAATAAATACTTGGGGTTGATATACAATTCGGTATGAATTTGAAGATAATACATCTGCAAACACAACATTTTGAGCATAAAAAAAAAACAGAAAAAATTACAAAAACAATACATTCATACAAAAATCCTACACACATTTGATATAGAATTGCAAAACAAACACCAACATCGCTGTGAAGAAAAGAAAACAAAGAAAGAGGGGAAAAACACTCTGTGTGTCTCTAATCATGGATCAGACCGTTAGTGTCCTTGTTTACAATATGATTTCATATATGTATTTACTGCTCAAGTTCCGTGTCATGTAACCTTGTCTCATGTTCGAATAAAATAAACAATAACAATCAAAAGGTTCACTATCCAATATATTCATGGTTACCGGGGAGCGTCCTTGTCTTTCTGAGATACCAGCGGCGGCGGCATGGGGGGGGGGGGCGAAAATGATGGGGGCGTTGTCCCAAAAAAACAAATATCAAACGTGGGTCAGTAAGTTTTCTCTGGAGATGTCATTAAACTCAGCTATATATGTTAACAAAATTTGCGCCTCAAAACGCAGGAAATAGCGTTTCAGAGGGTCTAGATTTCTAGATTTTTTTCCGGGAAGCATGCCCCGGACCCCGCCAGTAAGGCCCCCATGCAACATTTCGTGCCACCGCCTCTGGATACTATTGAGATTTCCACGATTACACGACTTTTACACTATGTTTTATTCTATTTTATTTGTGTCGCTGTTAAAATATAACACATATGGTTATGGAACTATTGTTTAAGGCATTCAACAATACATCCTGTAGTTCCTATGGGGAAAAGATCTCGCCAAGGCTGAAATTATCATCGGTGTTCGGTGAAATATAGGGTATATTTTTGACATTTTGTGTTTTTGTCACACGATTTTCTCTAAAACCATGATTTGTGCCGAGTAAAATCACCCACCCAAAGGCAATAACACATATTCATATCAAATTAGGTATCACTATTTGAAACAAAATATTGTGATAAGATTTTTACCCTATTTAATGCCTGTAGGGCAAAATACCCCGAACGAGGGGGGTTACTCCAAGTCAGATCTGTTACCCATGCAGAAGTACAGCTTTCCAACAATTTTTTGGCAAATTATACCCCTTTTCAAGTGCAGAATATACATACTGAAATCATACCGTGACTGCCTCAAAGTTGAGGTAACATGAATTCATGAGATTTCTTTTTTACACTTTATTTATATATTTTAAAATATTCGATCCTAAACACGGTACACGCGTATATGCGTCAAATAACTAAATAACACCCCTTTTATGCGTTTTTTTTTTACTTCAGCTCGGGACCTTGATTATTCTGAAACGAGTTACATGTAGTAGGTATTCAAATTAGATAGCATAAAATACAAGAAGACTCTATGAGGAAATATTGAACCAGTGAAACTTTTGTAATACCATGGATAGTTTGAGTGAGATTTCTGTTTTCTTTTCTTTTCCTTTCGCTCCGCAATTTTTCTGTTTTGTTTTGTACTACTATTTGGGTCCCGAGGTCAGACAGTAGTGTGAATATAAGGTAACAATATTATCAATTTGTGAAATGGCAAAATTTGGCGGAATGTGGTTTCGTAATTGCATTTAATTTGACACTGTTGTACGGTGGACATTCCTACATTGACGTTTCCATTCCAATTTAGGAGGAAACACAGGTTTTTGATCGATATGAACGCTGATCGTCTTTACTGCAACAGTCAGTGTGATGGGGGCGCTTTCGTAGACGTATGTGGGTTTAGCGAACTTAACCCGCCCCAAGAGGGCGTTCTGTACTTAGGTTGTCCCATTAAACAACTGCGTAACTCCAGGTACGTATCGTACACGTTGTTATTGAATGCTCCATTCTATGGGAGTGTATTATTTTGCAGATAATAGCTTCTAATCCAATGATTGTAACCGCAACATAACATGACAGCGTAAATGAAAAGGGCTTTTTCTGACCGTGGTTTGTGTCACTTTGGCCCCGTTTTGGGTCCTGACAGATCATGGGCCCAAAACGACGCGGCTTTCAGCATTTCATATATTTAATGAATAGAATAGAATAGAATAGAATAGAATAGAATAGAATAGAATAGAATAGAATAGAATAGATTTATTCCACCAGAAAAAAGAGACAATTGTACAGGGAACTTTATCTGAATGAATATTAAATATATATATTATTCCTGGTGGGGACCAGAGAGGTAGTTCTAGCAGAACTAATCTAGTCCCTGGCCCCAAAACCATACTCAACTGTTAAAATATACGTTGTTGTGAATAGTGATACACAACAAAAATTATATTGTTAAGTTAAAAATAAATAAATAAATACATAATTAAGTAAGTAAAGAGACTACAAACTCTCATAATCAATAATAATGAAGAAAACAAAAATAGACAATACTAATACATATGCTACAATAATGCAAGTATTTATACATTAGTTAAAAGATATTTTGTTAATGCCGTTTTGAACGAGTTTCGTAAAGTTAATGTTTTTAACGAAGTTGGGAGCTCATTCCAATGTTTTACAAGAGAAAATGTCAGACTTTTCTTAGTTGAACTTAAATTAATTCGTGGTGTGGCAAGTTTCTTAGAGGTTACTGATTGTGTATGGTATGGATGTGATATTGATAAGGCGTAATGATCCAGAGAGTGTGCATGGCGGCCATTTTTCAAATCGTATGCAAATAAACATGTATTGTACTTACATAATTTATACACATCAAGA